TGTTCTTCCAGGCACGAAAAGTAGAATAGTCCAACTTGTAAGAAAGCATACATACCAGTGAAGTGTCCCAGGTGTCGACTGCTTCCCCCATTTTTGCCAACGTGGCGTTGAAAGTCGTCCACTAGCGTGTGGAGACCTTCCTGAGATTCCTTACGAATGGGGGCCAGGTCGTACAAGGCCCGGAACAACTGCTTTCTGAGGAACCGCTGATCATCGTAGCGTTTGAAAAGGGCTTCCCAAGTTGGTCCATAATTACCTGCCTCGATGTCCACCGTCTCATATGGTTTCTTTGCATCTTTCTCCAAAGACTGCAACAGGAATTGTAGCTTCGCCACCGGTGGGATTTCTGGAACATCGTAGACCACGGATTTGAACGTGTCTCGGAATCCAAGCCACCGAGAGTAGTCCCCGTCAAACTTTGGCAAGTAGATTTTGGGGAGGCGCAGATGGAAGCTGACTGACGTTGATGGGGTAGTGATGGTCTCATTGACAAGAGCCGGTTCAGCCACAATTTGGCTCATCAGCCAACCTTTCACTGCACAGTACCGCGATTCTACCTCATTGCGCTCTTGGAAGTGCCTTGCTAACGGCGCATCACCACTATCCAAACGCTCGAGATCAGCTTGTACCCTGATGAAGTCTTGGTACAGCTGATTCAGCATTTCGAGGCGTACAGGCACTTGCAGAATATCACGCTCCTCATCATAATTCTCGACGAAGTTTTCCATTGCCTCGAACGACGACATCAACGAGTTTCGGTTCGTTAATCGGTCCTTAAGCTTCTTCCTTGTGGCCATGCTTCCGGCGATGTCGTTATACGAACGACTGTCCTAACGGGTTAAACGAGTCGCACACGCGACGACACGTGGGTGCAACGGCACGTGATATCCTTCCCGATTCGATACGAAAAACTCCTTCCCGACACGGATCGCGGAAACGAACGAGTTGCTCCTTCCCGACGTGGATCGCGAACGCGAGAACGGAACGAACAAATCCTTCCCAACGCGGACGTGGGACCACCAAGATAACACTTCACTTTTATGGCACCTTTCGCGAGTGGTCGAGCGAACAAGTGTCCACGGATGCACTTTGGGGTGCAGCAATTGTCTTACACTGTCACTTGCACTTTGGAGTGCAGTTTCAATACACTGATTATCCAATGAATTTTATCAAATTTCACTTTGGAGTGTAATTGCTCTTCACGTATCACTTTCGGTGTCACTAGGTTGGTGAACGTTCTATGCACTTTACTTTCAACGTAGCACACAAATACGCGAAATTCCCCCCCGTGAGAATTCTATCGATGGCGTCACTTGGGCACGCCACCCAAAGACAAAGAACACTAGTCCTTTATCTATTCTTATTTTCACCCAACCCACCAACAATGGCAAACGTGGCGTGGTTTGGGACTTGAAAAGGCCGTCCAAAATGGCTGGGATGCCACACATCAATAATCGTTCGTTCACCTTCACACAACAAAGCCCGGTATGGCTTGGCTTGGATCGAGAAGGTTCTATTCACAATGGCCGAAAATGCCACTCACTTTGTCGTGCCAACGTGGCCACAGAACTGACACACTTCTGGTCCCCGGATTGTCCTACGTATCCTGTTCGAAGGACCAATGCACGCGCCACGCACTAATTTCCGGACATACGCAGGCTCTCTTGACGGCACTGGTGGCCTCTGGGCCCAAAAGCGTATCTGCGGCACGTTGAAACAAAGAATAAACGTCACTATAGAATTGAACGAAGGCGTTCGCTTCCCACACACGCGGAGATGGGGTTTTCCTACACCCAGAACTTGATCGTTGCTCGCCCTCTTTTCCACTAAAGATCGGCCGACGCGCTTATGGTCAAGTTCTCACCATCAACGGCCCCCGTTAATTTGAGACTTAGTAGAAACTTTCCTCGACCACACAACCGAAGTGACAAAGTGTCTTGCTGAAACAGTACTTAGCGAAAACCACACGGCGGACACCGACCTCGGTCAACCAAGAGGAAATCTTTCGGATCACTTAAAGAATAGCGTTTCTCGTTGAAACGTTTATATTTCACGAATTTCTGATGGCAACTAACTCTACGTTCATAAATGATCGCAGTTTTAAACTGCTTTTGCTTTCTGCTCTGCATCTATGTATGTGTTTGAAAGGAAAAATATGGCGATCGAGTAGTATAATCGCGATCGGTGTATTTGCATGTTTGCTTTGTGTGATTTGTTTGTAGTTGGTAGATACCAGTATATAAGAAATTAGATCTGTTTCGTAGTTTGTAAGGTAGACTGCAAATCATGTATCTAGGTTAAGTTAGATGTAAGAAATTCAATTTACTTCTAGGAACAAATTTTACTTTTAAGCTATTAGATAAGTTTAGGTTTAGATCAGTATCTAACAGTGATTTCCCTAACACAGTCACCGAATATTGATACCAAGCACTGAACATGTCAGGCGATATAAACAATAAATATATAGAATATATATCAACGGAAAACCCTAAGCTACAATTTGAAACCAATATTTCCAATTTATAAAAATCTAGAGAATACATTTAATCATTACATTCTACTAACACAGTTACCCGCATTATCAAAGATACCCCGTTTTACGGTATGTTTTTACAATCACTAATGTAGCCATCCATCGTCTATATTAGGCCTGCCCATAAACCATAAACAGAATACATAAATGACACAAAATCTTCTAATTGTGGAAAATATCAACCGAAATTGATAAATTCACTAACATTTTAAAATCTTTAGATTATGATAGCTTATGTAGCTTCTGCATGCTTGGGTCTATAAACACATTTTTTTATGTTTCTGGATTTACTTGTGAATTTTTATTAAGTACGCAACTTTATTACTTTCGTTCCAAATCAGATAATGCGATTTGAAAAATGTTAAAAATGTACCGCGTATAAACCGATCCAATTTATAATGAAAATGTCTGGCCCGCCTTGATATGAATTCTAACATTTGGCCAACGGCAAAAAAAAACGTTGCACAGCCCTGGTTTATATGGATGTCAATTTTCTACAAAATCACAAGCATAATCATGTCAATTTTTGTACCATAAAACGGGGTATCTTTGATAATGCGGGTAACTTTGATAGTATAATATAAAGATTAAATTTACTCGCTGTGTTTTTTTTTTTTCAAATTAGAAACATTGGTTCCATATTGTAGCTTAGAGTATTTACGTTGATATCGTATATAGTTTTTACATAGTATGTGTAACATATTTCACAAACAATTTAAACAATGATAAAAAAAATTCGTGTTTTTCGTCGGTTTGAAAAAGCACTCGAACCATTACTGTATTTCCGATAAAGCCATAACAAATTCAATGCTGTATTCTTATCGCTTATGGTGTTTTCTGATTATATACTCAATCAAAGTTTCATATTTAAAGAACTAAACTGTTTGAGATTCACCCATTTTTCTGTACATTCATCGAGCATTATCAAAATAACCCTAAATCAAAATTCTGAAGTTCGGTCACAAAACTAAAAAAAATAGTATAAATGCTTTCGTTAACCATATTACTAACAAATTAACTCTTGGATTCTCAGTACTTGTTTTAAAAACATAAAATTTGAAAAACGTTTAATGCTGTCACAAATATTTAGAATATACTTTTTTAAATTTTAATGTTACCCCGTTTTACGGTACTTTAAAATAAAATATAAACTTTTAGCGTTTTACATACCTCCGCGAACCGTAATTAATTAAATATTATATTATGATGATATTATATGATGATGATACATTATGATGATATTATATGATGATGATATTATATGATGATGGTATTATATGATGTTGATATTAAATTATGATGGTATTATGTTATGATAAAACTAAGCATTATATGACGAAGCAGATGATTTAAGTGATATCATAAATAAAATTGGATGCAATAATTAATCATCTAGTTCTTGTGTCATTCTTGTAAATTTTAATGAAAACTTAAGAATATACCTGGAATAGATCATTATTTATCACTATTTAAATGACGTTTAATTGAATGCTTTGATCCAAGAGCATCATTTTCACTAGACACGCTCTCTTTCGCTGATCCATGTTTCTTGTGTGGGGAAATTGAGACAAGTAATATTTAATCAATGCTTTGATAAGATAAAAAGACTACAAACGTATTGCCATTAATGTTGTTAATATTCGTTTATTGATAATATTGAAGGCAAAATTTACGGGTTTTTGTCATCATCATCATCATAAATATCATCATTTCTATAATATTCTCAGAATCTCAATTTATTGTCAATATATTAACATGTGTAATGGGCGCTTCAGTCCCGTTGTGGATCGCATCGTTACCGAGGGCATTTATTGTTCCCGCTTTCCAAATTCAAATGCGGTTTAGCCCGGTGCCGATGATGCGATCCAAAACAATAATTTTGTCTAATTATCTTAACAAAAATTCTAAAAAACCTAATAACTGATCACTTTTGTTTAAACCATGACAATTTAAAGCTCACTGCGTGTTCATGATAATCTCTTCGTTGATACTTTGTATTTTAAAACAATACCTTTCACTGAGTTGTCATAGCATCGTGAAGTATATTTACTTTCACTTCTCTCTTGGTGTGACTCTTAAACACAGACACTAGCATAAGTGTAAACTGAGCATAAGTAACTAACAAGCCCCTTTCAATATAATGCTGACAATTCTGACAAAGCTATATTTAAAAACGATATTAGCCTTACATTGCATAAAGGTGAATTATTGGGCTTCTTGGTAACATGGGTTTGACCAATTACTGAGGGATGTTATTTTTTTAATTGCTCCGAAGAAAAAAAAATCGACTTTTCATAGACAAAGTTTGAAAATCCGGAAGGCTGTCATCGCAATTAATTATTTTATTTTTATTTTCATATCAATATAGTGTATTTCGTTATATTTTGGTTTATGTTTTTTTATTTGGTAGTAATGAAATTTACATCAACATCTGTTCTTTCCATATGAATAACATAACTGTACTCTATTTGTTTTGTTTAGGTAAAAACAGTGTATTTCGTGTATGCAATATAACATCTGCTTTTCATATATTAATTTGATAAAAAATAACTGAAAATAATGAAATATCTAACAAATGTTTGGCCCCCCAAAAACACAAATGGTTTAGAAAGGTATCTTACGTTATGTTGTTTACAAGCCCTTTTACTTCATGTGGGTTATAATATGTTTTTATTTCATCTTCTTTTGTGGATTGAGAATTTCTAACGTTGGAATCATGTTTGAGCGATTTAATACTAGTTGCTTCTGTGCATGAATATTAACCAAATTTTAATAAGGAGCTCAACTAAGTTCAAAAGACCCTAGATATGTCACTGGGGCTTATTAAAAAATATATAAAGATCTCTCTTACTCTAGTCCTGGAAACTGCTCAAGTATATTCAAAATCTCGCTGGTAGGGCAATTTTAGATTGGTCTACAGTTCAACTAAGAAGAAGCAAATGTCAAATCTAATTACAAAAAAAACATTAGCCATGAATAATGTTGACGTAGTTAGATTAACCAACGAAACTTCACTGTACTGCTTACAATACACTCCTGTTAACTTATAGTTGGATTATCAAAAATTTCTGTAAATCAAATAAAGTAAGAAATAACAGCCAAATATGCATAGGTTTCCAAATATTTGCGGAAGTTTATTTCAAAATAGTTTACCGCATAAATCGTACCAAAGGATCTCGAATACTTATACTATTTATTCAAATCCATGCTTGTTCATAACTCTTGAACAGCTTATCTGGAAACATAATGACTTGAAAATAAATGCAAATACAGTTACGATTGTGGTCTGTGTATAAACTATACTTGTAGACTCATGTGGAGTGAGGGGGCTACGAAATGTCTACAGTTTCTCTACTCTGATTGATGGGAGTAATGGGGTTGAAACGCAGTTCGCGTAGTTCTACAATGTTAATTTCCACAGTAATTTTAGGGATCAGATGAAGGTTCTCCCTTAGCTTGGTCAGTAATGGCGCGGCTACAAAGTAAAACAATGCTGGAGAAAATTTCGGTCCGATCGAGACATCGCGTCGCATCGCATGAAGAATCATTTACAGAAAATACCAAATGGTACAGGTTTGAGAGCAATCAATTGAATACTACTTTCCACCGTCAAAATCGATAGATGTCACCCTGCCAGTGGTGAATAAAACAGTTTTGAAATTTTGGAAATTTTCAGAAAATCTACGATTTTTCTTCTTTCGATGAGCAAATTTCTATATTTTGTTATTTGTAGTAATAGCGACATCATGTAGAGATAATATAACGGACATAGTGCACCATTATCGATATATTCAATTAAAAGTGAATTCCACCAGCCCACACGATCGAAGTCGGCTAACCCTCTGGTGGTGAGTGTTGTCAGAAGCAGTACGAATCACCTAATTAACAACTGAAAAACTGTGAATGTTATGAGCAAGTGTAAAGTTCTGAAGTATTGCCTATTAAGACAAAACCCGTAACGCATCGGTAGTACTTTTGTGACAATAATTCTCTTTGAATTTATAGAGAACCTTACACACTAACTTGACATGGGCAACTACCCAGTTATTTTTGAATTGCAGAACAGTTCGGTAAATTAATTTTCCGTAGCCATTTCCCACTTTGGCACTTAGTATTTAGTAGAATTTAAAATATATACCAATAGATTTCACAGGGTGATTCAGAGTAACTGCCCCCAATTTTACATGCAATTTTTAATGGGTAAAATTAATATTTGTTGTTGGTTTTGAAGTGTGCATTGTGTGTCAGCTTGTATTGATAGTAGGATTAGAAAATTTAATTCTTTTCGATTTCAAGTGGCCATTGACGTGAAAATGGAGGAGTTCATTAATCTGTATAAATTCATGTGTTATCTTTTAAAGTCTGAAATCTCTTCGAGTGAATGAAAAGTAACAGTATAGAGGTTCAAAGAAACCATGCTTGGAAAATCCGTTCAATATCAGGGCTTAAACGCATACCCGGGACTCCATAAGTTCTGGAACTAAAACGTGTGTGCCAACTGTTTTTCAGTCATATTCGTGACAAATTTGAGTGGTAATTAAGTTAAAGGAGAGAGATTTGAATTTATGTATGCTAAGTTGAAGGTTATATATGTGTAGTATATTTGAAATATACTGATATAAAAAATGCATGCTAGCGTTCAATCGTTGTGATCTTTTTTTTTTAGGCGACAGTATGTATGTCGTTAGTCTAGCTTGGCAACGGTTTAGTACAGTTTTACTTCACTTAAGCTAGGTATTAATCGAGTAATTACAAAATGGGACATCTCTGATTTTTGGTGTGACAAAATTTTAACTCTACCGAGGGGGCAGCATATGCACAAAAACACCTTGCGTATTCATTGGATGAAAGGGACCGTGAAAGACGACACTAAAATAGAATGTTTTTTTCTTAGCATTCTTTTTTGCTATGGTGTTGTTGGTTTGCGTGATTGAGTTGTCGTTTAGGGGGGACATCGACGATTGAAGTTCGAACTGTCGAGTGCAAAACATTGAATTTTTAGACCATCTTGCAAAAAGGCTTGATGATGCAGGTTTCAACATTTTGCATGGTGAGGTATGGGATTAAAATTAAAATATTTGTCTATTTCTCAAATAAAGCTATTATTTTTCTTTCGATGATTCTATGAGTGATAAAGCCTCAAGGGCTACTCAATAGACGTATTATATTAAATATTCTAAATTTAAATAATATATTTGATGGAAATGGTTCAAAAAGTAGTTTCAGACTTTTTATCCCCCACAGTAACACTTAAGTGAATTTAAGGTGTTTCATTCGAAAAATATAAGCGATTTAAAACTTCTCTCACATACTTAGTCGTGTAAAATTTTAAAATCTGCATCATCAAGCCGTTTTTCAAGATGGCCGCTGGAGGTCAAGTTTTAATTGCCTATTGCGTAAAGGCCGGCGCACAATGCATACGTTTTCGGGTTTTTTGACAGATAATGGGCTAACTGTCAAAAAACCTGAAAACGAATCTATTGTGCGCCGGCCTTAACATCGAAGCATTTGCAACTTCGCATCGCAGGTCACTCGCGACTTCGGGTTGGTGGTGCGAGGGCACCATACATATATCTAAAAGCTTCGCGAAATACATGAGTGTTGTAAAATGAGTCTCTCTAAATATATGTGCGGTAAAACGATCGGATATACAAGGTTTTATCGCACTTATACTTTAGAGCCACGCACAATGCATCAGGACTTCATCAGTTTCAGCAAATCTGACAGTTAGACAATAGATTTAGCTATCATTTTGCCAAAATGGATCACATCCTGACACATTTTGTGGAGCGATTTTACCACTAATTTTACTACACTTAAACATTAGAATTAAGAAACTTCTATACTTCATATACTCCACTGGCTAAAAGACATGTAGCATGCACCAGAAATAATAAAACTGGTATTTAGGCTAATTTCAGGCCATGGAACTTAAACTAATACTGCATTTCATAGTTTTTTTTTGTTGTATTAGTACAAATACGATACTAAAATTAAAAAAAATATTGTGGTACCGATTCAGAATCAACCACAAGAACAATAGGTTTTGACAGAATCTCATCATTTCATCTGCTTGTTTTATTTTCAGCCACACATTGGAAAATTCGAAGTCCAATGAGGTGGGAAATATGGAATCAAATTTTAATTTACATTTTCTGCTCTGCCCAGCCATAGAAGAAATATACTAAGCATATAGACTATGTAATGAATGCTTCACAAAAATCGCATGGAGTTTCACAATGCTATTGACAAAATCACATTCAAGATGACTGGAAACCTTGCCAGTATCCAAAGGACAGATACAATAGCACTAGGCTTAATCAAAACTGGAAGCAATGCATAGAAAAGTAAGCAGATACGCAAACCTCTCTTATGCAGTTGAAATCTATGCTATCATATTCGTTCGATGCAGTTACCTTGGAACGGTAATGTAGATGTCTTATAGTGGTCGTATGAGATAACGGATGGTTTGCCAGTCATCTTGATATGTTTTCTTCGCTACTATATAGAAAAAGGCTTTAATCACCTGTGCTACAATGGAAAGGAAATAATTACAATAATAAACAGGGAATATAGCGCCATCAAGCCAAGGTTCGGGTGTAAAAAGATAAAAAGTCCTACACCATGGTTCGGTAACGAAAGGTCGTCAGGAATAAGACGAAAAGAACAATGAGACATTTGAGTTTTAGGCACAGCTAAACTGCCGTTATATGTATAAGAGTCCCACGGTGCATAAGGATTCCAAAGAACATAGGACAGTTATGCGTATAATGACAGTAAAGGCAGCTGGAAACTTAATTGTAACACCATTGAATAAAAATAATTATGCTCCGATTTGATATTAAGAGCTACTTTGAACCCTGCTTGAGTATCTGTCTGAAGATGTCTGAATTTTATTCATTTGTGTGATGCTTTAATGGATCATAGGATTTAGGTGTCCCTTTCAAAAATATGAGCCGAACCACTCGTAACTAATAGACGAACTAGCAAAAATCATTGATGAATTACAGGGAGTCAGTAATAGTGGAAATATGAACTATTATTATTTTAAATTGATAAATGACTCTGATTTAAGTTCACTGCATTCCTCTATTTTATTTGAATATTATTACATCATTATTATTGGAAAGCTCGTCCACAATTAATAAGAACCAAGTTCCTTTCGTTGCGATAGTTGCTAGGTCTGCTTCACATAGTTGAAGAACTCATTGGTTTTTCATTGATATTATACTACTCTTCGCTGCATGGTGATTTACATGATTTGAAAAATCATTACTGATTTAAGATTTGGGTTTCTGTAAACAATATTTCGCAAACAAACTATACCTACTGCTAAACAAATCACTCCCCTATCTGATTGCTAGTTTGCTAGATTGAGCTTTTATTCGCGAGAAATTGGTGATTGACGTAATTGTTTAAAAAAACAGTTACGCGCAAATCTCAAATCAGTCCGGAAATATCAGATAATCATGACATTTCAGTATCGAAAATGTCGCGGATGAAAAATAGACCTACTGCGTCATGACTACCTGTGATTTATTATCGAAAAATGTAAATATTATTATCGAGTGCATTGGCGAATTACAGAAACACTCCCATAACAGTGATATGGAAAATTTATATTTTCCCATATTTTTAACGCTTATAAATTCAAAAAATTAACATAATGATGTAAATCTACCAATTCTGCAATTAATGGTTTTCTCCAATGAAACAAATTCATATGGCAACTTTAGGATCTCCACTATTACTAAACCATCAACCCTATTCATAAAAGTTAAACTAACATTTTATCGAAAAATATTAAAATATTAAAATATTAAAATATTAAACGTTCCAAAAAATATGCTTCATAATGTATTGATATAATGTTGAAAAGAAGTAAAATGAAAAACAAATATTCTGGAAATTAGAATAGGTCAACTCTCAATAAATGTCATGCTTATTCAAGATTTGAAATATTGTGTGACTTCATAGTGAGTCGTACTGAATCTAAACACTTATGTGACTCTGACATAAGACAAAATCCCAGTTGTGTATTTAAAATCATAACTTACTAGCATTGTGCCCAATTTCCATATTATTTTTTATATTTGAGTAACCAGAAATCCTACTGAATTTTTCATGTAAGATACATGTTTTTTTTATTTCCACCTTTTCTAATCGTTAAAAAAGCGTCTTATTGTAGACTACTCTCCCCCACATAAAAAAATGTCGAAACAATAAACTTCAAACTTTCAAATAACAATTGATATAATTGTTGATCATTTTGCTTGTTTGGGAAAAGGTTTCAACTTTACATGTTCTTTACAATCCTGATCAGAAAAGATCACCCGTTCTACTTACAACGCAACACCAGTACAATTCCTAGCTTGATTGAAACATGAAAAGTTCAAACCATTTTATGCACGCGCAACGAAGCTTTACATTTTGTCCTGGTCCTCATGAGCCTTTTTAACAATAGCCAATTTCGAATGTGGTGAAGTTGGAGACAGCATTCTATATGGTGGATCCTTTGTACCGTGCAACACCAATGAAAATTCCTTTAACCATCCTGTACGTGGTTCCTTTGAATTGAATGTTGCCTGAAAAAAAACACATATTATTAATCTTTTAATTTTGTCGAACCTCTTAACGGAATCGCTTTATGAAGAGCTTTTTGAGTGTGTTGATTTATTTCCTTTCAATTCCGTTATAGTTGCTTATCCTTTGACATATTATTCCTTTTTTTAAACATTTTACAGTTTGGGAAAGTTATTACTGCAATATTTGTAAAAAATAAAAACTAAATCAGAAACTACAGTAAGTCCTGTAACAAGTGTGGTAGAACAACAAAAACGACAGCAAAACTGTCACAAAGTCACGCGTAAAATTTAACAAATGCCCGATGAGACTCAGGTAGGTTCACTTCCGAACACCTAAGAACACGTGCAATCAAGCAACCAACAAAAAACGCCCAGAAACTTCAAATCTAAAAGTAATTCGATTATCTTATAAAACCACAAAAAAAACTACCAATACGCAATCTGTGTTTTGCCTCCATCCATTTTTTTTTCCAAATAGAGGATGCAGGTGCATGGTTATTTGTGCTGGTTGATATAAAAAACTTTCTAATAAATTGAAAATTAAAATTTTATTACACAAAATACTATAACACCATATTGGATAAAACTGTATTGACTTATCCGTAAGCCTCTCGAATGTTTCCGAATCTAACCTTTTCCGGAGATCGTCCATTTTCGCTAAAAAGCTGCGGACAGTAACTGCTTGCATCATCCTAATGAGTCGGTGATGGAAATGAGACGATAAAATTTCGAAGTGATTTTTTACCCAAAACTATACCCATTATGCAACCGTGAACTGATTCCTTAATATAATAGAGTGTTAGTTGAATTTAGCGTACTTTGCGCTACCGTCACTTGACAGTTCGACGTTAAATGAAAGAAAGAAGAAAAGAGTATCAAACCGATCGAATCGGATTCACATATACAATCAAATAAAGGGTGTCCACGATGAAATTGCCACACACAAAATTGATTCGCAAAATTCGAGTTTTCATCCGATTGCCATCAAATTTTCAGGGATTGAGAAATAACTATTAAACTTCATTTTACCATTTTACTCGTATTTTATTTACAGTCCATACGCAAATGCCCACACCTTGGCCTTAACCCCGGCCATAAGATTCTGCACAACCTGTGAATCAACCGTTTTTTGCATGTAAACCCATACTTTCTTCAGTTCCTCGACTGTCTTAACTACCTTAGGTCGTTTAAGAAGGTGCTGTTTCATAATCGCCCAGTACTTCTCGATGGGGCGGAGCTCCGGAGTGGTGGGAGGGTTGAACATTTTCGGCACGAAATTGACCTTATTGTCCGCATACAACTTCAGCACGTCCTTGGTGTAGTGGCATGAGGCCAAATCCGGCCAGAAGATTGTTGGGACGTTGTGGGCCTTCAGGAGAGGAAGCAGCCGCTTCTGGAGGCACTCTTTTATGTACACCTGTCCGTTCATCGTGTTCTGGGTCACGAAAGGTGCACTCCGCTTCCCGCACGTGCAGATGGCTTGCCAAACCAGGAATTTCTTCGCAAATTTGGACATCTTCTGAGTGCGGACATGCTCCGGAACGCTGAACTTATCCTTGGCCGTGAAAAACAGGTTGCCGGGGATCTGTTTGAAGTCGGCCTTCACATATGTTTCGTCGTCCATGATGCAGCGTTCAACTTTCGTCAGCATGTTGAGGTACAACTTCCTGGCACGGGTTTTGGCGGACTTGTTCTGCTTCTCGTCGTGATTAGGGGCCTTTTGTACCTTGAACGTTCGAAGCCCAGCCTTAGTTTTGGCCTTCTGGACAAAACTTCGGCTTAGGTGCAGCTTCTTAGCCACATCCCTAACGGAGGCGTTCGGATTTCGGTTGAAGGCCCCAACTACGCGGTTGTGATTTTTGGTGTTGTACGGAATACTTTTTCCTTCACTTCTGAGCTTCCGATCGGTGGTCAACCGTTCCTCGAACCGCTTAATCACTCGCGACACCGTGGAATTCGCAATTCCCAACGTTTTAGCGATGGAACGATGCGAGAGATCCTTGTTCTCGTGATGAATGCGCAAGATTTTATCACGCACGAGCTGTTCTTTCGACTCCATTTCCGCGAGTTTTGATCACAGGACTTTAAAACTTGCAGGATGTAAATAATGCACTATGAACTAAATCCACCCAAATTTTCATTAAATTCTACCCAACGGTTAAAAAGTTAGAGCAATTTCATAGTGTGGCAATTTCATCGTGGACGCCCTTTATACAATGGATAAAAGCTAAAGAAAATATATTCTCGGGTCATGATTAGATTACATTCATTCGCTGCCAGACTGTTGAACAGTTCAGTCGATTTTTATTCTCTCTTGTTTCGTTCGTTCGTTCGTTCGCAAATCTAATTAGCTCCGCGTTGTGTAGTGACGCTCTCGCTGACCCAGCCATGGGTAAGAAATCGCGCGGTAACGCGAGTGCCGGTTTACCGCGAAAACAGCCTCTCCCAGGAGACGGCGCGACCACCGAGCCAGCCCAGAAGAAGCAGAAAAAACCCCATTGCCCGTCCCGACGGACGTTGCGGACCCACAGCCTGGGCCTCCCGGAACTAAACGACCCAGACCTGAAAACAAAAAAAAGCAAAAAAGCAAAAAAAACTGCTGAGGAACAATCCGTTCTCCGCCCTGCAGAACAGAGCCCAGCCGCAGTCGGACCCTGAGACGGTGCCGAAAAAAGTGAAGTTGCCACCCTTCTATGTAAAGGGCTTCCCTCCCGGGCTATGGGAGCAGCTGGATTACTACATTAAGGAGGACCTTCGTTGCACCATTCAACGGTGCACGGAAGGCTACAAACTGATGGTCCCGGCCGAAAAACACTACAACGTAGTCCAGGCCCTCTTGGACAGGATGAAGCTGGAGTCCTTCTCCCACGACGTCGAGGCCACCAAGCCGCTGAAAGTGGTGCTGCCTATTGTTCGGGCACGGTACCAGGAACTGCCGCATGGCCAGCCGCTGCATCAAATGCGGCAAAAACCACAAGATCGACGACTGCGACAGCATCGAGGAAGCCGCTCCCACATGCGCCAACTGCGGTGCCGCCCACAAGGCCACGAGTAAGGCCTGTCCGAAGCGGGCCGAATACGCTGAGATCTGGAAGAAGACCTCGTCCAACAACCAGCCCGGTCGCAAGAAGGTTCCGGAAAACAACTCACAGAACTTTCCTCCGTTGTTACCGGTCAAACCAAGGCCAATTCCAGTGTTGCCACCGCTCCCGCTCAACCAACAGTTGGCTGCTGCCCAGTCGGCTGCCGCTGCAGTACCCGGTCAAGCCTCCGGGCCATCGACGGATCCCCCTGCTCCGGGATTGGCCGGTACAACCGGCAAAGCTTCAGACGATTCTCCGCTGTCAACGGATGAGATCGTCACACTGTTGGCCCAGGCCATCATCATCAAGCGCACCTGCACTACAAGAACACAACAGCTCCAAGCTATCATCTCCTTCGTCGCTAATTATGGACCGTGAAGCCAACTGGAACGCTCGCTCCGTAGGGGCGAAAAACATTGAGCTTGCAGACTTCCTTCGCAAGCACGACATCGACGTGGGCCTTCTCACCGAGACCTACCTCAAGACCAGTGACAGCTTCTGGCTGCCCGACCACAGCATTGTCTGACTTGATCGCACCAGCTCCAGGGGGGGGCGGTGTCGCGGTCATCATCAAGAAAGGCATCAAGTACTGCACCCTACCTCACTACCGCACTTCCATCATCGAGGCCGTTGGCGTAGAGGTGGAAACATCGACCGGAAACGTCTGGTTCATCGCCGCCTACTGCCCCCGGCAATGTACCGTTAGCAATGGTACAGCACAACAGTTCAAGAATGACCTTGCCATCATAACCCACACCAATGCCCGCTTCGTAATCGGAGGGGACCTGAACGCCCGGCACGAGGCCTGGCCGAACTACCAGCAGAACCAGAACGGCCGCCTACTATTCGACCATTCCCAGCATGGTCTCTATTCCGTCTGGTTTCCGGAAGAACCAACCTTCACATCACCAGCGGGCAACCCATCGACGCTGGACCTGTTCTTGGCAAACACCGGATTAGCCAAGCCGGTTGCCGTCAACGACCTGAGTTCGAACCACCAACCGGTGCTGACCGAGCTGGGCTGCAACGTGGCCCCTGCACCGTGCCTGCGGAAGGACTACCATCGAGTCAACTGGGTCCAGTTTCGGCGCCTGGTCGACCGCCACATCGACGACAACCCACCGCTCGACACAGTGGAGGTCATCGACCGGGCCCTGGAGGGTCTCCATCAAGCCATATCCGTGGCTGACGAAGAGTGCGTTCGACGAGTTCCTGTGAGGGGTAAGTTTCAAGCAATTGATTCCCACACCAAACTCTTGATTCGGCTCAGAAATGTTCGTAGAGGCCAGTTTCAGTGGACTGGGTATCTGCAGCGTAAATACGAAATGGTCGATCTGAATCGGCAGATCGCTTCCAGAATGGTCTCAATCTGGAACGAGAGTTTTGGGCGGCTCGTTCAGAACCTGGACGACCGTTCCAGACCATTCTGGAAGGTTGCCAAGGTGCTGAAGTCTCACCCCAAGCCCATTCCACCACTTAGAGTCAATGACGAACGGCTTATCACCAACGAAGAGAAAGCCAATGCGATTGGGGAGCACATTGCCTAGTCGCATTTGCTTGGCTACAAAATCCCAAGTCCACTCAAGAACCAGGTTGCGCAGTGCGTCCAGACGTTAGATACCTCCCCTTGTGCCGTCCCTCCAGAAGAACGGATTACAGAGGAACAAGTTGAAAAATCTCAGCCCGAGGGTGCACTCGCTGCTGGCTGCCATCCTCAACAGATGCTTGGAGCTGCACTACTTTCCAAGCATCTGGAAGGTGGCAAAAATCATCCCGATCCGCAAACCTGGGAAAAACCCTTCACTGCCGTCAAGCTACAGACCGATTAGCCTGCTCTCAGCGCTGAGCAAGCTGTTCGAAAAATTGATCCTCAGCCGACTGAACAAGTTTGTGGAGGAACATGACATTCTTCT